AACAACATGTATATTACTGCTTCCCAGAACCCGAGATAATGTCTTCAAAGTTATTGTTTTGTCAAGACATTCAAAAACCAAAGATGTTCTATTTTCTGAGATCTTGAACCTTAACAATTGTTGGAATATTTGCTCAATGAATGACATAAACACTCAATAGTTTGCGGTTGGTTCTTAATCTACTCATTATTTATTTATCTTATATTGAGATAGCTTCTAATGAGACTGTAGAGATCTTGCTGCCCAGTAGAAATTAATTCAGTTTCTGCAGGAGAGTCCTCAGTCTTCTGATTCTGCCTCGCTGCTGTCCGGTGAGTTCGCCAAGTGTTCAAGCCCTCTGCTATCTGAATGACAAGGTTCAGTAATCAAAGAATTTGTTGACCCTTTCCTCCCCTTCACCCTGCTGCTGCTACACCTCCTGACCTTCTCTTTTCTCATTTGTCTGAATGTGTCACAAACAAATGAATGTATGTACACAGAAGGCAGGCCATGTCCCCAAAAATGCAATTAGGTTTTAGTCTTTCTACACTAAACCAGAGCTTATGATCACAAAAATGAACGTCATGGTAAGATGGTTGTCATGAAATGGCAATAGTTATACCTCTCGTAGGAGTGTATTGTAGGAATTGGAAAACACATTTAGGCTTCTCGCTGCTCTATATAATCATCACACCAATTCCTGCATTAGAGCTTAATACATTATAAATTATAATAACTGATAAGTATGGATAGTGCTTCTCAGTAAGTTATTTTCCATTGTTTAAAAAGGTCAATGCAGACAAACAGGATTCAAACAGGATTGGAAAATGCTAGTGTTTATGTTTTTTTGAAGATGCACAAGATCTTGATGTCAGGGGAAGTAGAAATCATTTTTGGTTTAACAGCTCTTTAAGACATGGCAACTCATCAAACATAAAGATAACTACCCCTCACACATGCAGACACACCCTTCAGATTTTAATAGACACTGAGACACTAAGATCACGGAAGGATCAGATAATTCTTGCCCTGCGTGCCCTTTTGCCCCCGCCCCTGCCTCCCCTACACAAACTCATACTGCTACATCACCCACCTCCACCTAGCTGTCTCTCACTATCAGCTGCTCCCTGCTGCCAATGTTTTGAGAGGTCAGAGCTGTTTGTTTGCTCTAAGGCCCGTCGTCTGATAGTGTGTGTCGGACTACGCCTGCCCCTGCCGCCTCATCTTAACCTGAGCCGTTATCAGACGACTTCCCTGCAACTCCAACCTTGTCTTTTGAAAGGAACACTTCCCCTGGAAATTATGGACAGATAGACGGTGTCTCCATCTGTCATGGTGGAAACCTCCGACAGACAGGATGACACTCGGGAAGATTCCATAATCTCCAGGTTCAAATCCATCTCATGACCTCTGATTAACATTTAAGGATTCCCTACTGAAGTAGTTTTTAAGGATGATCCTTTTCGGCTTTAACAATTGTACTTGAATAATACAAAGATAATTTTTTAAAGAGCGGATTTAAACTGATTTCCAAGAGGATGTTTTATTCCCACACATATAGAAAAGTTGGTGCCTTCTGCTATAAGGACACTGTAGTTTATTTGAACCAACGTCCTTTGTTATAAGGAGAGATCTGATATACTTCCTAAATTAGGAAAATAACAGAAATTAGTTGAAGACATCATAAAAACCTTATTTTGTAAAACTAAGGACGAAAGTACAATACAAATATTACAACCTGTGAACCACATTAATCAAACTGTTCCAAAATCTTTGAGATGTGAATGTGTACATGTTGGAGAAAGAAAGAAATGATGTAGATCACAATAGCAGAACACAGTTAAATATTAAAAACAAGGTAAAACAAAGTCAAATCAAATCATCGGCATGAAGATTTAAGGATGAAAGACAAAATAAGAAAAAATAATCAGTCTTAATAGGCCCTCAAATGTTTCAGATTCATAGTGAATTCCTAAACAATAAATAATAACTTTTTTAATTTAGTAAATGTATTCGATGTTTCCAAATAATAAAAAATGACACTAATCCCTCCCTCACCTTAGAACAATCATCTGGCTTGAAGTGCAGCCGGCCAAGTGACCACAAGAAGAAAAAAAAAGCTGTGATAAAATTACTCCCCCAACACTGGATCAATCCCAGCAGGGAGGAGGGGGGGGTGGCAACCACCTGATTAAGCAACATGGAGGAAATGAGAGAAGCAAAGGGGTCCATTTTCAGGAGGAAACCCCAGAAGAAAGAATGGGAGGGGATGAACGAGGGGGGCTAGGTGGGATAAGCTGTGTACATATGTGTGCGTGGGGGGTGTTGGACGGTGTGCAGGGTTAAAGTCACAGATTTTAAATCAGTTCTTTGGCCTGTAAGGGGCGCAACAGAAGCCCAGTATGAGAGAGCAGAACAAAGAGGGCAGCAGTGGCCTCGACCAATTAACATTCCTGCAGCCTTTATGAGCCGCCTGGTCCCGCCCCTTCACTCACACCTCGTAAAAGTCACAAACATCAATTCTTGCAAACCATAACTGTCATTATAATCCCATTAAAAACAACCCACTGAGCAATTTACAGTGAACACCAGGGCCAAGTGTGCCAGCAGAGGGGAGGGATCGCCTTTGCTGGAGTGCAAACCGGACTAATAGGAACGTTTATTGGGCATAATTTGACAACATTTCACATGATAGTGACTCCGTAAATGTATTGTTTGAACTGAACAACAAATAATACATCTGTTCTTCTCCATCTTCTTTTAATATAATGGGTATTGGCAAGTATGTATAGTACAGGTGTTGTTATTTAAAGCAGCCTTTGTTTGTTGTATGGCCACAAGAGGGTATAAAAGCACAACAATAAGCAGACATACAGCCACAACTTATAAAGTCCAATATTTGCTCTGTTTTAGCTTTGGTTTTGTCTCCAACCATTCCTTTCAAAAAAGCTGGCTCTATAACCAACACGTTCTCACTCCCAACCCGTCACACGTTGACGGACGGTCAGGGCCCCTCCCCGTCACGGAATTATGGACAGGGTACCCCTTGAGAGTCAGTTTTCAACGGGCAGGGCGTCCTATAGACCTTCATAGACCTCCCATAGCAGTGGTTCCCAACCTGGGGGGTGCGCCCCCCTTGGGGGGGCGCCAAAGATAGCAGGGGGGGGGGGGGGAACCAGGCCTCAGATGATTTGAGGCCAAATATCATATTTAGACTTTTTTTTTTTTTAACATATAATTGTAAGGCAATACATGATTGTCACTAAAAGCCTTGTCTCTACATTACAATAAAATATAAAAAATAATTGACTCATTAATTTTAATAAAAATTCAAGTTAGTATTAAAGGCATAAAAAGACAGAAATGTATAATTATTTCTTTAATATAAATGTTTCTTCTGCCCATAAAGTGTCCAAACCAGGCTTGTCTGGATAAGCGCATTTTTAAAACATAGTCATTGTCCATGCCGGTTTCAGTTGGATTATTTGTCACAGTTGCTCCGATCAGATCGTTCTCCTCCATTTTGTAGATTATTTACGACTTTGGAATCCACATAAACACATCGGCAAAATCCGGTTTACTTTGAGCAACAGTTTAATCCCTTTGTGAATTGTTTCCACTTGCGCCGTCCTTTCATTTCTTCATACAGCGGGAATCCAAATAAATTAATCCTGAGTCCAATAACCATCAAAGTCACTCCAATAGTGCTCCTTAATTACGCTTTCATCCTCCTTTAAAAAAATACTTCACATTCATCCAGTTTGTGACAGTAGTTGTAGCATTTTTGAGACTTTAATTACCGCTGTTGCGCGCCCCCCCCCCCCCCCTTGTGTGTGTGTGGGGAGGGGGGGGGGTGGGCGCAACTTCCAACAGGAGTCATTTGGGGGGGTTCTTGGGAAAAAAGGTTGGGAACCACTGTCCAATAGCATTGACGGTTGGTTGTTGTTGTCAATATTAATATAATATTTATTTATTTTTTAATAGTCGCACTCAATTTCGCTGATTTTCTTGTTGCCCCAGCTGGTTGACACCTCTTTTAGCAGAAACAAAGGCTACATTAATGTATTAAATTGATGTTAATCCATGTCAGCGCCATATAGACTATCTATATGGCGCTGATCCATGTGTGTGGTTGTGGAATTAATGGACGTGCCGTTGTCCGTTACAAACTCTTCAACTACAACCCTAATTATATTTATAAATATTTTAGAAGGCCTCACGAAATACTTTAATGTAAATTAAAATGTAAATGTGAAGGGATGTGTGTAATGTGGTGATTGACATTATTCACCCACGGATCTATGGGTTGGGGTATTGTTCCGCACGGACATTTTAGTTAACCGGACTTCCTGTTGATTTCCATAAAGGTTGGTGGCCGAAACCACTTTAATCATTTTACACAAAATGAAGTTAAAAGTGGCTAACAATTTGCCAAAAAAATATTGTTTACACTTTCTTGATTTCAGCAACTTGAGAGTATCTGTTATTGAAAACTTGATTATTTTCTCAATGTAAACATGTAAAAGATGTCTTTGCTCCTCCCTCTTAAAGACATATCCTTTATGTTTTATTTTATTTATTTATCTTAATTGTGACATGTCCTAAATGCCTCTTGTGAAATACTTGGGGGGGACAAATACAGAATATAACTTACTAAATTGGCAGTGTTTTAATTCAAGATAATTTCTAAATGTGTTTTTATAATTAAGAACTATGTCATTTAAAACCAATTATTGAAAAAAACTAAAATGTTCCTGTAAATAAAACTATTAATACATTATGTATTTATTACTGGAAATGTAACTACCTGTATATGGTGAATGTTTTTCCTATAGACACATTTCCATTTTATCTGAAATGAAATGACATTTGCAGTATGTCTCAGATTTAAAGGAGGTCTGAGAGTTTGAGAGAATGTTCATGAGTGAGGTTTGAAAGCAGCATTATGCAACTTACAAAGGCAGAAAGACATTCACTATCTGTGCTAATACAGAACCGTTCTTTAAAACACTGACATTGAGCGCAGGAAAGCTTCATTTATTGTAAGGTTTTTTTGTTATTTTCCCTCTCCTGTGCAGGTGGTTGTCAGGTCCATGCTTCTGATCCACTGATCCATGGCCTCAACCCTCTATAAAAAATGTTGGCTCATTGGGAAGAATGTGGCTCCCTCTAGCTGCTAGGTACGGTGTCACATCAGTATTTCAAGTACATTTAATTAAAGGTGCTTTCTGTACATTTTCTCTGCAATATGCTCTTTGTGTGTTTTCCATCTGTGAACACTTGGTAATGCATGTGATTTGACCTGCTCTTAACAATGTGCCATATACATATGCAGACAACAACATAAAATGGCATTCATTTGATATTATTGATAATAGCTGAACTATTATTAAAGTATGCTTGCTCAACATGAAACAAAGTAAAACTTGCTTACTGTAATTTAAAATGAATGGCTGTACCCTGATTTTCTATATACAAATATAATAGAAATACATTTAAATAGCTTGAAGTCTGTTTAATACATTGTAACTTTGTCAGATATAATATTAGTATGTGAAAACAATACTAGTTTACAAAACGACTGTCATGATGATAAACCCATGCTTGGGTTTTGCTTAAAAACAAAACTTAAACAAAGTACAACAAAATGTAATTCATAAAGGCTCTTCAAGAACAGTTGCCTTAAAGTCAGCGGACAGTTCCCTTTAACCAAGATCAGATACAATTTTTTCAGTAAAAGTAAGCGTTTTCGTCTCAGGCAGAAAACATAAAACTTATAAAACAATTGGGGTGTAATACATTTCAAAAATAACTTATCATTCCCTGCTGCCAGAGCTCGTATTATGCTGTGGGAGTTATCAATCATCTTAGCTAATTTTATTAAATTAGTTTTTCAGGAACACATATTGCTTTTCAGTCATTGACATGACTGTATTAGGTTGGTTGAAAGCAATAATATTAAGTTGAACCTAATGTTCTTTAAGTTAACGTAATATTATTGCTTCAAACTAACATGATGCAGTTATGCAAAATCTGTTGACACAACACATTAAATTAAAGTCAACGTTTATTTTCTTTCAATGTAGGCTCGTCTCTTTATAGGCTTCAGTGTACAGTGTATTTATAATGTTTAGATGTGTTAGAAAAGCCGCAGCAGGCTGTGTGTTAATGGAACATGTTACAGCCTTGGTGGTGGTCAGGAGACAGGAAAGAACTCATGTGTTCTTGGCACTGACTAGGACAACTTGGAGGTTTCTCCTCCTCATCTCTCTGGACATCTGACACCAGCTGCAGGGTGTACAGAAGGTGGCAAACAGACAGTCCCTACACATGGTGTCCTGCAGGAAATACAGTCAGGTGAAAAATAGGATTTACAGGCTGCATAATTGATTCTGATAATTATTCATACACTTGGTTTACCTTTCTTAAGTATTTTTTAGAAGTAATCTAAAGTAATTTTTTTAAAGTAGGGATACCAAAACCCTGAAATAGCGACACTTTCCTTCCAGGACTGAGTTTTTTTTTTCTTTTACCAAAGGTCCAAAAAACCTTCAAAAAGTTGCTTTCAAAACCCAAGCCATGATTTCCTCCCAATTCTAACAAAGAGTTTATTGTGTGGACCTTTATTGTGTCAGTAGGAATACAAAAAAAAACACACACACATTGTCCTAACCCTTAATGAAATTGTTGTTTGTTGAGCTGTTGAAAATCTTGAATATCACTTTCATATTTTTGTCGAATTAGACACTCGTTTTTGTTAACACGTTCTGGACATTTGCTTTACAAGTTCAAATCATGTAACCTGACATGTCTCCCTAATTCTCAATGAAATAAAAAAATGATAGTGGATCAACAGAAATCGCAAATAAAACTCAAATATTTCTGCCATCTGACACCAACAAAAGAAAATCGTGTCTTACTTTGATGCCGTAGCGCTGCCTCATGGAGACCCTCATGGACATGGTGACGGGAGGGACAAAACCAAACATGTCCAACAGGGGAAGACAGAGACACTGCCCATATTTCTTGGTTGTTTTACAGGCGAAGCAGGGACAGCACCAGAAAGCACAACAACCTTTACCAGAAATAAACAAATGCCAGATAAGCAACCGATAAACATTGTAAAAATGACCAACACCTGTAAGATCCCAGAGACAAAAAAAACACACAAATATGCACACAATCATTTAAAGATCCCATCATATGCTTTTCTGGTTATTACCCGTCCCCTTGTGTGTTATGTAGCTTTTTCTGCATGTAAACGGTCTGCAAAGTCACAAACCCTCAAAGTACACCCTGTAGCAAGTACAACTCTAACACAGAAAATACCAACCCAGTCTCATAAATAACTATGTGTAATAACTACGTTAGTCCACAACTTGGGACGTAGTATTTCTACAAAAACGCCTCTGAAATTGTAAGATCCCTACGTTTATTTTCACAATTCATTTCCAATGGCTGGCGTCTATGTCACGTGATCTTCAAATTTCTCCCTGCAGAGAAAAAAACATGGCCGACATTCGTTTTATTCTCAGTGGAAAATGCCTATTTTAAGGTTAATTTGGCCATTAAAATGCGTTTTGATGTCATTTGATGCGAGAAATATGAGTTGTTATTTCAGATTATGTGTGCAGTGGATGTACATGATCTTTAGTTTGCTAGTTATTACGAAGATTACTTCAGGAAATTGTGTCCATTCAACGTTTTCATTGTTACCAAGGTGGTTGCTCGGGACGCTGCTATCGATATTATTTCTGTTATGTTGTGTAACTGTTTAATGGTGTTATCTTTATTGCTACCCCCTTCCCCGTCAATTTATAGTGTTGGTCCACAGCGCAAACGTATTAGTTTTACAAAATCCGCATCTAAAATTGTGGCATAGATACGTTATTTTCCGCTGTGCAATTCTCCATTTACTCAACAATAACACATACTTATCCTTGTATTTATTTATTTGTTTGATTAATAAACACAAGTTGGAGTCCGTCAGGACCGAGGGTCGGAGCAGCTCATTTTGCTTTAGAGAATATTACACCGGGAAGTAAGTATTCTCTCCGCTTCGCTTGACAAACCCCGTGATAGTCCTCAAGCTCTGTGATTGGATGTTTGAGTGTGCTCCGAGGGTTACGCCGAGCGTCGAACAGCACTTGAAATGGGATGGAACCACGGCAGACTGTCCAAAACTGGATTTGAATGGGTCCCCCCCTCCCCCACCCCGTCCCCAGAACTACACATGCTGGCTATTGTGTTTCGCAACATGTTCTCTATCTATGGCACGTCTCTACTGGGAATTGTAGTTTTAAAAGACGTTTTCGTATTTCTCATAATAAGAAGTTGCCAGTATTAAACTGTGTACATCCCTGGAGGTTTAGGGGATAGGAAACACTCAAATTTAAAACATATAATTAATAAATGGGTGAAAATTGCTTGTGCCCATAATGGGCATGCAGCATTAATATATACCCACATGACAGCTAAGGTCAGAAGAGCTTTATTTAACAGCTGGTCTTATGTCTTTGACCCCTCCTGTTGTTCATTGATAAGCCTGAAACATGCACTTGTCAAGGTTCAGAGGCACATTTTGCAAATATGGCAGTAGCCATCGCTCATCTTAAGATCAGATATACTTTATTGATCCCAAGTTGGAAACATTTGCGTTACATCAGCATGTGTAACAGTTGTAAATATGCAGTGGTGTTTATTTGTAAATCATTTAGTATAATCACACAAATTCTGTGTTTTATATTTAATAATTATGTGTTCTTTATTTATTGATTGTTCAATACCTGACAAGGTCGAAGATGAAAAACTTGGGTCGCAGGTTCCTCAACAGTGCATTACAAGACATCTATCAATATGTGTGTACCATTAAACTGTCATATTCTGCACATGTCTTATACTATCTACATACATCTTATAAGAGTATAATACATATGTATAATATCAGTTAAAATAAGTGCTTCAACATAATTAACATTGCTGGAGGTATACACACATATTGATAGATGTCTTGTAATGCACTGCGACCCAAGTTGAACAGGTCTCTCTTGAAAATGAGACCTTGTGTCTCAATGAGATTTTACACCTGTATAAATAAATAAAGTTTTTCATTCAATGCATAACTACACCGTAGTTGTGTATTATATGTCAATAAACCTTAGAAAATCTTGAAAGGGATGTGGAAAATAGTCATTATATACAGTCTTTAATTAACTATTAGTAGAGAATAATGAGTAATGAATATACTTTATAGGGATCCTATTAATATCTAATAATAAAAATAATGAAATTCAATAACATGCTTTAACCACTAGGTGTCCCTTTATATCAGCTGTTCACCGTTGTGGTGTAAATACAGCCTATCTACCAATTGGATCAAATATAAAAGTCAGCCGAATTAGTGTTGATACTGCAAGGAGACGTATTGTGTGAAAAGAAATGTAAGATGTTGTTTAATTGCTGATATATTTCTGATCCACGTCACGTTTTCAGTGTTGTCGGCAGTTCCTCATGTTTGTCTAGAAGTCTTCTCATCAGGGCTCTATAAATAAAGAACTACGGCAGATATGTAATATTTAATGCAGCCGAACCGTGTATTACAATGCCGTTATGTGATGACTTTCAAAGAGAAAAGCAAGCACACTCGGAATAAAGTATTATTATTTTTATTTTTTTTAAGTTTTCGGTTTGTTTATGACGAGGTGATGTGTGTAAGGGAAACTTCTGTGTAGCAATGCAGTGGGAATCACCGACTCAGGAAGGAGACACGGTAGAGCAGGAGCTTCGATGTCAAACACTGATGATTTATTTGGAGTTTCGGCCGGAGGATTCACATCACAAGTCACAGCAGTCAAGGTCTGACTGCACGGGTGGGTTGCCACGTCAATTCTAAAGAACTCTACCTCAGACCCATGTATTTAGCTAGTTCTGAGAGCATCATCAACATGCTGCATAACAAGATAAAATCATAACACCTCTATCAGCTGACGTCAACAGGCAGGAACATAGAATCATAACACCTCTATCAGCTGACGCCAACAGGCAGGAACAGGGAGATAGAACACTGAGAGCACAGCAGCCAAGGTTATGACGTGTGTGCTCAGTCAGGACAGTTTGAACCGATAAACTGGGTCAAAGTTATGGGCCTTGGAAAATATTTCTGTGAGACTGGGTTGGAGAATTGCACAGGGGAAAATAACGTATCACTGCCACAATTTTAGATGCGGATTTTGTTAAACTAATACGTTTGCGCTGTGGACCAACACTATACATTGACGGGGAAGGGGGTAGCAATAAAGATAACACCATTAAACAGTTACACAACATAACAGAAATAATATCGATAGCAACCCTAGCAACCACCTTGGTAACAATGAAAACGTTGAATGGACACAATTTCCTGAAGTAATTTTTGTAATAACTAGCAAATTAAAGATCATGTGCAAAGACCACTGCACACATAATCTGAAATAACAACTCATATTTCTCGCATCAAATGACATCAAAACGCATTTGAATGGCCAAACTAACCTTAAAATAGGCATTTTCCACCGAGAATAAAACGAATGTCGGCCATGTTTTTTTTTTTCTGCAGGGAGAAATGTGAAGATCACGTGACATAGACGCCAGCCATTGGAAATGAATGGTGAAAACAAATGTAGGGATCTCACAATTTCAGAGGCGTTTTTGTAGAAATACTACATCCCAAGTGTAGTTATTACCATAGCCGCGGGAAGTCATTTTGCTCAGGGGGTGCTGCCAAAATTGGGGATGGAGCCGTTTAAAAATTTTTTTAAAAGGCGGTGCCGGGCCGGGCCCGGCTGTCAGCGATACGAGCCGCATACATTGTTTGTTAAAGGCGAGACACGGCAGGCAAAAACATCGTTTTTCATGCACTGGTCAATTTTGAGATGTTGTGCTATTTTGATTCCATAACATGTTTTATTTCAGGCTTTTGGAAGGAAAACGTACAAAATACACATTTAAGTGTTCATTTTACTATAGTTTGTCTATTTGCATCTGTATATTTCTCCTAAATTCACCAAAAGTTAGCATTTCTAACGTAACATAAAGTACCGCGATCGCTGTTTGCACAATGTCATCGTTGGAAAAGCTCCGTCTCTCCTGCACAATGATCTCATCGGATCCAAATATGATCATTTCCTTTGTATCAGCAACCAATCGTGAAAGCACAAAAGGGTCTTAAACCAAGAAACAAAATCTCATTGGCTGGTGTCAATTTCTGACAACGTGATTTGTTCAGATGCACCACGTGGTGTGCTAAAACACTTCCTGATTAGCTTTCCGCTAGAAATGTAAATCTCAAAATGGCAAAAGAACGGCGAAAAAAACGTTCACAGAGAAGACAACAACAATTGTCACTTGCACGAAGCAAGGTTATACAAAACACAAATGACCCCGAACATGAAATACCTTCACGGAGTGCGTCGATGCGCAAGCTGTCATCCAAAGAACAGAGGGTTTAGCTAGCGCCTCACTGCAATCTTTAAAGGTCGTTTTCTCAAAATGAGTTTTTTCTCCTACTCTGAGTCCGAAATTTCCACTTTAGTTGCACTTACATACACCAAACCTTCCAGTTATATTCCTATCAATATTATGAAGGCTTTTACAGAAGGGTTTGTTCATATATCATTCATAGCCTGAATTATATAAGATTGTATACCTAGAAACATGGCGAAAATTGATATTTTAGGGCTGTTGACAATATTTTCTGATTTATGGAGTGATAAAGAGAGATATCCAAAATCCCTTCGGTGAAAGCCTTAGATGCTAATATGACTACAAAATGAAACGAGAATTTTGAACCTGGCTTTATCCAAAGTTCAGATTTCGGTTCCTGAAATGTGTTAAAATATGCGCAAATGTAATGAGATAATGGATAATTTATATATATTACTCTAGTTGTAGAGGTGGTGGGCTGAGGAGTAGCTGGTGGTCCACTCTTTTTATTGGGTTGTTTGTTGGAGAAAAAAATCCAAAATCCTTTTTTGCGCCATTCTAGAAAGTTGTCACTCTGCAGTGTGTGTGTCGCGTCAATTACGTCACTCTCCCAAGATCTACGACCTAGATGACTCGGATTTTACTTATTTGGAAAATAAATTCAAGCCACCTGATATATTCAAATATATACTATGACTATTATATGCTACTGTATACAGCTAATTTTATTTTAAGTAAAATCATAACTATTTTATGTAGTTTAATCATTTTTATTTAGGTGGTCACTCCGTTTTTCAAATGTACACCACTCGCCAACAGGGGGTGCTGCAGCACCCCTACTTCCCACGGCTATGGTTATTACACGTTTTTTTGTGAGACTGGGTTGAAAATACGTGTCCATGCTGCCCCAGAAAGCCTCGTTGGAGATTTGTTTTCTTCCATTTTTTTCCTTCTGGGTCCTATTAACGTAACAAAGTCCAAATGGACCAATTGGTCCAATCCGCGGAGCTCCGCACACACACAAACTCACTCAGCCTTATCTTTTCTCAGCCGCGGTGCTGCGCGGAGCTCCACACACACACACACACACACACACACACACACACACACACACACACACACACACACACACACACACACACACACACACACACACACACACACACACACACACACACACACACACACACACACACACACACACACACACACACACACACACACACACACACACACACACACACACACACACACACACACACACACACACACACACACACACACACACACACACACACACACACTAGGAGCTCAGGCTGTGAGTGGGGTGGGGGGGGAGCTCCAACAGGGCGTGTATAGGACAGAGAGGGAATACACATACTATACAGAGATGCTGTATGAGAAACCAATGTGATTTTGGAACATTGAACAATGTAAATCTATTCTAGTAGACCTCAACAATGGAATTATGATCAGTAGAAATGGCCTTTGAGATACTAATAAATAATTAGAATAAGTCAATTACCTTTCCTTTCTTAGGAAAATATTTCAGGTTCACTTTTTTTACATCAGATTTGGCTGTGTATTTTTGCTGTTATTTCATAAAACATGGATGAGTATCTAACATTATTATTTTGAAGTATTGAGTTCAAATCGACACATAAGATTGGTAGGTTTGTTGCAAAAAACGACACATCAAATCAGTAGGGAAATGACAAAATGTACTGTAATCCTGTGTTTTTATGATGCAGCTAATATGAAAGATTAATGTATTTGAAAACTACAGAATAAAAATGAACAACGTCTTGCCCTTTGAGTAAGTAAACAATGCCCTTTTGTCACATAATCATAGCATGACTGTGCACAAGAGATACAAATCAAATGTAAACTATACTTGTAACTTCTCTCATAAAGAGAAGAAGTGCAGATACTTACACTCAGGCACATTTTGAACGCAGTCACAGATCCCTGATCCCCACTCATCAGAGTCCCGGGCGTCCATCACAGGCTGAGGCTGGCTGATGACCATTTTGGAAGTCATGATGGCTTTCTAAAGGAGGAACCAGGACTTAGAGTTCATGTCAAAAATGTTTGTTATTGGTGCTTGTACAACATACAGTCATATGCAAAGTGGCAACAAAGAAATAGGTGCTGGCAATACTCTTGCTACAAGATTGAAACAAGAAAAACACACCACATACTTTACGTATTTCATAGTTTCAGTTAGAACGTTACATCATTTTACAGTATAATAGAATTTGTTCAATAAGATATTGTAGAAGGACACCCAGTGCTGCTCTGGTGGAGGCTTGTAAGCATGTGAGCATTAGAAATATAATACTAACCTGAGGACAAAGTATTGACATTTTTTTGTGTTTTTGGCATGGAGAAAAACAGGTTCACAGATACACCTTTACCGCATTTGGTCTAACAAGCATAGGTCAAGCTAATGGGGCTGCCGTGACTCAGGAGATGGAACACGTTTTTCACCAATTACAAGGTTGATGGTCAACATTGTTAACACTTTGGACTAAAGCTTCAGCTAAATAACATGTACAATACCTATTGACGCAGCAACCACTGTAAGTTATATTCTTGTTTAATTAGACTTCTCTGTTTCATTTATTCTACTCTGTATAATTGTTCTGTAGTTATTGTAGCTAAAACGGCGCTTTTGAGAGATTTTAAATCTCAGATCTGCTCAAGGGAACCTGTTACACAGGTCGCAGTGGGCACTCAAGCCTCCATTACAATATAGGCAGGGCCAGTCTGCTGATTGCGTGAAGCACAATATCGTAAATTAGTCATCTTCCAGCTAAAAAGCATTCAAATACCGCATTTAAAATCTGATGAACTCAGTGTGCATCTCGACCGGGTGACGACAATACCTATTGTCGCAGCAACCACTGTAAGTTGTATTCTTGTTTCATTTATTCTACTCTGTATAATTGTTCTGTAGTTATTGTAGCTAAAACGGCGCTTTTGAGAGATTTTAAATCTCAGATCTGCTCAAGGGAACCTGTTACACAGGTCGCAGTGGACACTCAAGCCTCCATTACAATATAGGCAGGGCCAGTCTGCTGTCGCCCATCAGCTGTAGAGAGTTAACTAATTAGAGGGGCGTGGCCCCACAGCTGTGAGAACTCAGCAATCAGGCGTCCATTATAGGTAGCTCAGGCTGTGTATTTTCTCCATTCCTGTTCATGTGTCTTCTCGCAATTATCACTGGTCCCGTGTATCTCCTAATCGCTATAACCGGCCTGCTCTCATCTATCCCACATGCTCCACTGAGATCCAACATCTAGTTTCAGGTGGCCTGTGGAACTGCCAGTCAGCTGTTCCTAAGGCTGACTTCATCTCTGGCTACGCCTCCCTAAAGTCCCTGGATTTCCTTGCTCTCACTGAGACGTGGATTACTCCATTCAACACATCCACCCCAGCAGCTCTCTCCACAGCATATTCCTTCTCACATACACCCAGACCCACTGGCAGAGGAGGTGGCACTGGTCTCCTGCTCTCTCCCAAATGGAGCTTTTCCCTCTTCAAGCTACCTAACTTTACTCCTTCCACCTTTGAATTCCATGCCGTCACAGTAACCCATCCTATACAATTAACCATTGTTGTTCTCTACCGTCCACCAGGCGCCTTGGGGGACTTCTTGGAGGAATTAGATCATCTCCTCTCACACATCCCTGAAACTGGCCCTCCCGCTGTACTTCTCGGAGACTTCAACCTCCAAACAGGGAAGATAGACGAACTAACATCTCTGTTAACCGCCTTTGCTTTCTCACTGTCTCCTTTCCCACCAACTCATAAAGCTGGCAATGTCCTTGATCTCATATTCTCAAGGAACTGCGCTACTTCTAACCTCTCTGTAAACCCGCTCCACACATCCGATCACTTCTTCATTTCATTCTCTCTACCCCTTTCCAAACATAACAAACTAATCTCTTCTCATCCTGCACCTGTCCGCCGTAACCTTCGTTCCCTCTCCCCCTCTACCTTTGCCTCATCGGTGCTCTCAGCCCTCCCTTCATCTGACTCGTTCCAACTCCTGCCTCCAAACTCTGCTGCAGAAACTCTCCTCTCTACTCTCTCATCCTCTCTGGACTCTCTCTGTCCTCTCACATCTCGGCAGGCTCGTCAGTCCCCTCCTGCTCCCTGGCTAAATGATGCACTGCGTGCTAATAGAACCGTCCTTAGGGCAGCAGAGCGGAAATGGTGGAAATCCAAACACCGTGACGACCTCCTAACCTATCAGGCTCTCCTCTCCTCTTTTTCTGCTTCGATCTCTCAGGCAAAAAGCACTTTCTTTCAAGATAAGATCCAATCTTCCTATTCCAATCCCAAAAAACTATTTTCCATCTTCTCCACCCTCTTGGACCCTCCCAAAGCCCCTCCCCCCTCCTCACTTCTGTCAAGCGACTTTGTTATCCACTTTGAAAAAAAGGTTGATGATATTCGCTCTTCTTTTTCTGACTCACCTTTACTCACCGCTGGGTCACCAGACCCTCCTTCCACCCACACACTAACCTCCTTTTCCCCTCTCTCTCCAAGTGAGGTTCTTACCCTCATTACCTCTGCCCGCCCTACCACCTGTCCTCTGGACCCTATCCCTTCAAACCTCCTTCAGACTATCGCTCCTGATATTCTACCGTTTCTCTCCCATTTCATCAACACTTCTCTAACTTCTGGTCACTTTCCAAACAGTCTCAAGGAGGCAAGAGTAAACCCTCTCCTAAAGAAACCCACTCTCAACCCGTCTGATGTTATAAACTACAGGCCTGTCTCTCTACTCCCGTTCCTGTCTAAAACACTTGAACGCGCTGTCTTTAAACAACTCTCCTGTTATCTCCATCAGAACAACCTTCTGGATCCGCACCAGTCTGGTTTCAAGGCAGGTCACTCCACAGAAACTGCTCTCATTGCTGTCACTGAGGAACTGCACACTGCTAAAGCAGCATCCCTCTCCTCTGTCATCATCCTGTTGGACCTGTCTGCTGCATTCAACACGGTGAACCATCAGATCCTCCTTCGCACTCTCCAAAAACTTGGAGTTTCAGGCTCTGCACTTTCCCTCCTCACCTCATACCTCAAAGACCGTACCACAGGGTAACTTGGAGAGGGTCTGAGTCCGACCCTTGTCAATTAACTACAGGGGTCCCTCAGGGCTCTGTTATTGGTCCCCTCCTCTTCTCCCTGTACACAAACTCGCTCGGATCAGTCATTAGCCCGCATGGTTTTTCTTACCACTGCTACGCTGACGACACCCAATTAATTCTGTCCTTTCCCCGCTCAGAGACCCAGGTCGTCGCACACATCTCTGCTTGTCTTGCTGACATCTCTCAGTGGATGTCTGCTCATCACCTCAAGCTCAACCTTGACAAGACAGAGCTGCTTTTCCTTCCGGGAAAAGATTGTCCCACTCTTGACCTGACTATCAACATCGGCACCTGTGTTGTTTCCCCGACTCAGACTGCAAGGAATCTGGGTGTGATCCTAGATAACAACCTGTCCTTCACTGCAAACATCGCTGCTACAACCCGTTGCTGCAGATACACGCTTTACAACATCAGGAAGATACGTCCCCAGCTGACCCAGAAAGCGACGCAGGTTCTGGTCCAGGCTCTCGTCATCTCACGCCTAGACTACTGCAACTCCCTCCTGGCTGGTCTACCTGCATGTGCCATCCGACCTCTGCAGCTCACCCAGAATGCAGCGGCTCGTCTGGTCTTCAACCTTCCTAGATTTTCCCACACCACTCCGCTCCTCCGCTCCCTTCACTGGCTTCCGGTAACTGCTAGAATCCACTTCAAGACACTGGTACTTGCTTACCATGCTGCGAATGGATCTGGCCCTTCGTACATCCAGGACATGGTTAAACTGTACACCCCAGCGCGTGCACTACGCTCTGCATCAGCCAAACGACTCGCTGCACCCTCGATGCGAGGGGGACCCAAGTTCCCATCAGCAAAAACACGTGGGTTTGCTATCCTGGCTCCAAGATGGTGGAATGAGCTCCCCATTGACATCAGGACAGCAGATAGCTTGCACATCTTCCGGCGCAGACTGAAAACTCATCTCTTTCGACTCCACTTCGAGTGATAGAATTATTAACAAAGCACTTATATACTAATAAAGGACTGGCTTACCTAAAGCCAGTTGAGTAGCACTTAAAATGTTTGGCTCTATGAAACCTGATGTACTTATATGATTCTATTTTCTTCAAGGTTGTGTCTTCCTGGTCGAATGTACTTATTGTAAGTCGCTTTGGATAAAAGCGTCAGCTAAATGCAATGTAATGTAATGTAAAAAGTGCTTTTGATAAATGTGATTTACTTTTATCATGGTCGTGGGATTTCCCTATTAATAACCAAGTGGTTAAGTAACCATGACAAATAAGTCATTTTAAATTGGGTTTTTGTAGACACTGACACTGAATAACTGCCTGCCGATAGATCTGTCATCCCGGATGGGATTACAGACAATATGCTGTGTCATCATTTGAGTGACTTGTTAGAAAATAAAAGTCAGGTAATTTAAATTGTCCAAACAAAATGCTTTTTTTGTCAAGAAAACCTTTCTCTTTGATTTGTTGAGGGAAAAAAGGAACCTGATGGATTCAAATGTAACAGTGAGTCTACGTATCACTGTGAATTTATTTAGTGCTATAGGGATTCCTTGCTGACCTTTTGAACCCTATTAGAACATATCCCATTAGCCTTCAATGTTGCAAATTCTCTGACAGGGATATTTTTGTAATTCAATTTCATTTCAATATATTTAGGGTCCAAAAGTCCCCTGCCATTTGAATTCTCACATTCTTGTATTTTCTTTTTTGACAATAACAGTTACATCTTTCAGCCAACCAGATAAATGAAGAATACACACATCTATAAATGGTCAACAAAGGTATTTTCTTTCTGACCTATGGATATAAAGGTGGAATAATATTTCATGGCAAATTGCCTTAAAGCAAAGTTGGTGCTAGTTAGTGCTATCCATAAAAAAAGCACACACTCTACATTAGAGAAAAATAAGAGGACACGAATACAGACAGGTTACAAATAATAAATGCGCTATATATAAATCATCATGATAGTGCCGAGTTAATATCTTACCTGTGTATTTGTGTGTTGAGAGAGCTCTGAGTCGTACGTCCTGTTACAGCCGGTGTCTGCACTGAAGTGCATATCTCTTTAAGACTATAAATACCTGCACACAACAGAACACCTGAAAGTCAAAACTGGACAAACCAGTCAGCCCTGCTCTCCGTGAACATCGCTTTGCTATTATTTATTGTAACCCGCTCAGGGGCGCACCTTGCGAACAGGCAAGGCAGGCAACTGCGTCGGGCGCCGTCAAATACTGCTTCTTATCTTAAATGTAATTGCCTTGCTCCGCTCCAGTGGGGGGGGGGGGGGAGCTGTCGGCTGTGCGTGGTGATGAAAAGCTGGTTCGAGGGGCTCCCAGTGAGTGTTTGCCTAGGGCACCCACATACTCTTGAATCACCACACCCACTAAGAACTAAGGTGACGCACACACACACACACACACACACACACACACACACACACACACACACACACACACACACACACACACACACACACACACACACACACACACACACACACACACACACACACACACATCCTACGATACTGTTATGTTTGGCTGTGAACATTTTTTTTTATTATGAAGGGCAGACCATCTATTTGTATTTATTTTGTGTTTTTTAGAAAGGGACAGGTCACATAGGATTGTATTCTTCTCCCTCCTCCTTTTCGCTCAATGGTGTTTTGGTAGTCATGTTTTGTTGGCAATTATTGTACATTTGGTTTTGCGTGCCATGAGCGGGACAAATAAAAAAAATGAAATTGGTTTAAATTCATGATTTGGGTAAATGTCAAAACATGATCAATCATTGTTGCACAGAAGCTTTTTACAAATAGCTTGAAAAGAAGCTTGCATATTATCGATATACCGTCATTGCAGCAAAGTATTCAAGACATATAAAAAAATAGAGAAAACTATAAATAAAATATGCTTACTCAATGCTTGTGTGGACAAACTTCAGTCTCTTCCTGGGAACATTTTTCTTTTTAATTGTTATAGTAATTCACATGTATGAGGTGACTAGATTGTCATATGCTGAATAGTTTGGCAGGGTGAATAAATACTTTGCAGCTACTCTTCTATAGTTTAGGCTGTTAGTGAGCTGGAAGAAGCTGGATTAGATGACCTTTTATTCTGGTATGAGTTTTATTTTTCTTAGAATGTTATTATGAAATTGGAGGAGAGGGTGATTCTCTTTTATATTCCTGACATTCACTCTCAATCTCTTGGCAATTTAGACCGCTTATATCTCTACAGTTATTAAGAACTTGGTTTCTATTAATGGAAGAGAAGAAAGAACAAGACAAGCATCGACTAATCAAGAGTCAAAATCCCACGCTCAAGTACACACAACCACCCACCTTAACCACCCTTAATTCCTACCCCTTTTGCCTTCGGGAGGACCATCATTATTTGCATGAGCACAAGAGATTTCTTATAGGAAAAGTAACCAACAACCACTTTGTTATTTTATTCTGGCACAACAGTCTCTTAAACTGAAAGCTTCTTGGTTACATTTATAAGACATTGTGTTGGAGAGCAGCTGCAAGTCCTTTTGCAGTAGGTTATAATGGCAGGGATTTAATTAATAATTCCTGTTGACTTGGAAAGTGCTAAATAATGGACCAGGTGGAGGTCATGCAAGGTGGTTTTGGGACCAAACAATAGAGGAATATGATCGGGAACAAATAAACATTTCTCTTCCTTTTTAAATATGACGAAGAAATCTTTTAATGAGGCACAATAGCATATGCGAGCCACAAACCACAGTAAAGGCTGTGAATGAAAGATATAATACTAGCTGTAACTGAACAAAGCAACATGAAGAGGACAACAATAACAAGGCGAAATAGCAGACACATGCTGTTAACAAAAGGGTGCAATGTCAAATAAGGTAAAGGTTTAAATTGTGTTTTATTCAGTGCTTAATGCAAGTCTAATCTCTGTTGGCACTGACCTGTCTTACCTAGCATTCCTGTCCAGCAGACAAAGAAAGCTGTAATCTCCTCTTCATCTTCATTTCAAATGAGGTGACACACATTGAAGCCTCACATGGAAATGTCTCAATACATTGTTATTTGAATGAGCAGTGTACTTGTTCTAGCCTCAGTGATTTATCGGCACATCAGCTGATTAGATCCAAGTTTACAAGAAACATCTTTTAATAACACTTCCTCTATGTGTTGTAGTAACAGTAACTGTTCTAAGATTCAGTGGTTACAGTATATGTCAGCTCATTTATAATGATGTACGCTGAAGTTTTGGATATTTCACCATTTAAATAAATATTTTATCTAATTTTTAAAATAAATTGTTGTTTTTTGACCTACTTATATACAGTAGAGTCAGAGAGTCAGAGGCATAATAAGGATATAATTTGTGTTTTTATCGCTATTTCACTTTCTGTTAACGGATTAATTTTAGAGCTGTCCTAACCCCTACCTGTTTACAATCAGCAGTGTTCATCATCAGCTTCTTGCAGCAGGACATTTTTTGTTTGTGGGGACATACTGTTGTGATTCTGTTTAGTTTTGTTTTTTGTTGTGTGCTTTTGTGTGCTTTTTCCTGTCTCACCCCTCCCTTCTCTGTTTTCCTCTGCAGGGCTGGTGTGTGACAGGGAGTTGGCTGGCTCCTCCCAGGAGCAGACGAGGCACACCTTTTTCTACTCACCTCTTCACCTGTAGATATAAAAGCCCGGTCCTCATGCCACTTCCCTGCCAGATAATTCCTCTGTGTTTTGACCCTCCGGTGTGTCTCGCTGCTCTCCTCGTCTTTTGGATTCTTTGTTGGGATTTTTGCCTCCTGTCCCTGACGACTCAGTACCAGCCAACTTCCTGACTCCACTGCTGTCTTTTTTCTGTTTTCTGCTTGAATAAAGCTTTTTGTTTTTTTACCATCTCTCTCCAGTCTTTTGCTTTGGGGTCCAAGATTCTATAGGCCGTAACAGAATTATCTGGCCAAAGCATGGACCTCCGAAATGCCTACCACCTAGTTAGGATAAAGGAGGGAGACGAGTGGAAGACGCCCCTGGGACATTTTGAATATTTAGTTATGCCTTTTGGGTTAACTAACGCCCCTGCTGTGTTTCAGGCACTCATTAACGATGTCCTTCGTGATATGCTTAACAGATTTGTCTTTGTGTATCTTGATGATATCCTCATTTTCTCTCGTGACCCCCAAGAACATGTCCAACACATGAGGTTGGTGCTGCAGAGACTTCTGGAGAACAGACTTTATGTTAAGGTGTGCCTTTCATGTTTCCTCTGTTTCATTCCTGGGTTTTGTGGTAGAGAAGGGGCAGGTCAGAGCCGACCCTGCCAAAGTCATGGCAGTGGCCGAATGGCCTACTCCTACAACGAGAAAGCAACTCCAAAGGTTCCTTGGTTTTGCCAACTTTTACCGCAGGTTTATTCGTGACTATAGTCGAGCAGCCGCCCCACTCACCAAGCTCACCTCAGTTAAAGTTCCCTTTGTGTGGTCATCTGAAGCTGAGGCTGCTTTTGCTATGTTGAAGTGTTTGTTTTCCTCTGCTCCTGTGTTATCTCACCCTCATTCTTCAGCCCCTTTCGTGGTCGAAGTGGATGCCTCCGACACTGGTGTAGGGGCAGTCCTCTCCTAGCGCTCAGCCGGCTCTCCCCGGCAGAAATAAACTATGATGTGGGAAATCGAGAGCTTCTGGCAGTAGTCTTAGCCCTGCAGGAATGGAGGCACTGGCTTGAAGGCACGACTCATCCGTTTGTGGTATGGACGGACCACAGAAACTTATCTTATCTCCGTTCTGCTCGCAGGCTCAACTCTCGCGAGGCTCGGTGGGCGCTTTTTCTGGGCCGGTTCAGCTTCACCCTCACCTATCGGCCAGGCTCACGGAACATCAAGGCAGACGCCCTGTCACGTCAGTTCGCTCCTCCGGTTGAGGAGCCATCCGCCGGAACCATTCTTCCATCCTCCTGTGTGGTGGGAGCAGCCAGGTGGGAGGTTGAGAGGGTGGTCCAGGAGGCACAAGAGGACCATCCAGCTCCGGAGGATTGTCCACCGGGTCGGCTGTTCGTTCCACCGCACGCCAGATCTTCAGTTCTCCAGTGGGGACATGATTCTAAGGTAGCTTGCCATCCAGGAGCACTTCGGACTCTAGGCCTCCTCCAACAACGCTGCTGGTGGCCCTCCATGTCCTCTAACGCCAAGAAGTATGTAGCCGCCTGCTCCATCTGCGCCCGCAGTAAGACATCCCACCGCGCCCCTGCTGGTCTTCTCCGCCCTCTTCCCATTCCTCATCGGCCTTGGTCTCACATCGCCATGGACTTCGTGACGGGTCTTCCCCCATCGGAAGGAAATACAGTTATCCTGACTATTGTTGACCGCTTTTCCAAGGCCGTACACTTCGTTCCCCTACCTAAATTACCTTCTGCTCTTGAGACTGCTACACTAATCACCCAGCATGTTTTTAGATTGCATGGCATTCCTCTGGACATTGTTTCTGACAGGGGTCCGCAATTTGCCTCTCGAGTCTGGAAAGCCTTTTGCCAGGCGTTGGGGGCGTCGGCCAGTCTGTCATCAGGTTACCACCCGCAGACCAACGGCCAGACTGAGCGTGCGAATCAGGACCTGGAGGCAGCCCTTCGCTGTGTCTCTTCTCACCATCCAGTCTCCTGGGCCTCCCACCTGCCTTGGGTTGAATATGCCCACAACTCCCTGGTTTGCTCCGCCACAGGAATGTCTCCATTCATGGCTTCTGTTGGGTTCCAACCCCCTCTCTTCCCCACCCAGGAGAGGGATGTGGCAGTCCCCTCAGTACTGGGGCATCTACGGCGGGCCCGCAGAGTCTGGCATGAAACTCGGGCAGCTCTCGCTCGCACTGCTGCTCGCAACCAGAGGCTTGCAGACCGCCATCGCACTCCAGCCACGGTCCCCGGACTACCAGCCCGGCCAGAAGGTCTGGCTGTTCTCCCGTGATCTGCGACTCCAGACTGACTCCCGCAAACTGGCACCCAGGTACATTGGCCCGTTTGTCATTGAACGGATTATTAACCCCGCTGTGGTTAGGCTCAAGCTGCCTGCTGCCTTGAATGTCCACCCAGCATTTCATGTCTCACTTCTCAAACCAGTTTCCTCCAGTCCTCTGAGCCCTCCGGCCGAGCCCCCTCCTCCCCTCCGGAGTATTGACAATCATCCTGCTTTCCCCGTCCAGCGGTTGTTGGATGTATGAAGGCGAGGCCGGGGGTTCCAGTACTTGGTGGATTGGGAGGGGTACGGGCTAGAGGAGCGTTCATGGATCTCCCGCTCCCTGATTTTGGACCCTGCTCTCCTTAGGGACTTTTATGAGAGGTACCCTTTGTTTTTTGTTGTGTGCTTTTGTGTGCTTTTTCCTGTCTCACCCCTCCCTTCTCTGTTTTCCTCTGCAGGGCTGGTGTGTGACAGGGAGTTGGCTGGCTCCTCCCAGGAGCAGACGAGGCACACCTGTTTCCACTCACCTCTTCACCTGTAGATATAAAAGCCCGGTCCTCATGCCACTTCCCTGCCAGATAATTCCTCTGTGTTTCGACCCTCCGGTGTGTCTCACTGCTCTCCTCGTCTTTTGGATTCTTTGTTGGGATTTTTGCCTCCTGTCCCTGACGACTCAGTACCAGCCAACTTCCTGACTCCACTGCCGTCTTTTTTCTGTTTTCTGCTTGAATAAAGCTTTTTGTTTTTTACCATCTCTCTCCAGTCTTTTGCTTTGGGGTCCAAGATTCTATAGGCCGTAACACATACAGTCCTGTTTTAGAGTTATTAGGAATGTTTACAGAGCATTTCACAACCTTTTGGCAGACTCAAAGTGCAAGAATGAAAAAGGAGTTATTTTTTCAACCTCAGTTGTATGTAGGCCCTGTTGGGGAAATATTTTCCAAGGCCCATAACTTTGACCCAGTTTATCAGTTCATATACTGTCCTAACTGCACACGCACCTGTAACCTTGGCTGCTGTGCTCTCAGTGTTTTGTCTCCCTGTTCCTGCCTGTTGGCGTCAGCTGATAGAGGTATGATTCTATCTTGTTATGCACAATGTTGATTATTCTCTCTGAACTAGCTAACTACATGGGTCTGGGGTAGAGTTCTTCAGAATTGACATGGCAACTCTACCGTGAAGTCAGAACCTCTGGCTCTTGGACTTGTTTTGTGAATTCTCCGGCCGAAGCTCCAAATAAACCCATCAGTGTTTGCCATCAAATCTCCAGCTCTCCCGTGTCTCCTTTGAGTCGATGACTCCTCCTGCATTGCTACACAGAAGTTTCCCCCACAGGCCCAAAATAAGTAGCTGTCAAAAGATAACATCACCGAAAGATTGAAGGAAATGTTACAGTAGTATTGCTGAAGGATTGCATCTAAATGAGGGCTGGGAATTCCCTGCAAACAAGATGAAAATACTTTAAGAATTGTATTAGTTTGAGATGTTATAAATTATTTTCTGAATTAAAAAAATACATCAAATGCCTTAAGGGTTGGTTTATTCTCGATTGTTTTATGATTGTCAACAAATTAGGCAAATGTCAAAAAACAAAAATCTCAAGCATCTGGTGAGTATTTCCTGCATCATTACACTGTGGGTGTCATTGAGATTGATTGGTTGGCAATGAAGACAAATAAATTAATCAGTTTTTACACTGCAGGCCTCACTTTTTAGTTTGTTCCATTCAATAGATATGCTGACAATAAGACTGGGTATTCAACAGCTTTCCTTTCACCTTTCACCCAGATAGATGGCTACCATGAGCCAGCAGAAACTGAGTGAACTGACCAGCTGTTACACAGCTCTCACTTTTTTTTCTACGTGAACCTTATCCAGATATTTTATGGATACTGATAGAGACAGAGCTGCTAGTCAACTTGTGAAAAGTAGCTTTTGTAGGCTGACAATCGGATTAAGTGAAATAGTTGGAATAGTTGTGAGCAGATATTTAAACCCTGTTGGTGCAAACAATTGTTATAAGGCTACATTTCCTGCGCTGTTTGTGGGTGAATTTCATCCAGATACGCTGCAATCACGAGATTAAAATATAACAATGTCAGCACTGTCATAAAAGTGGTCCACAAACTGAAATTGGAGACCAGTATTGGTTTATGAACAACCATTTTTTATGAATTCAATAAAGTTTCTATCATATTGTATAATGGTTTCCATTTGAGGTCCAATGTGATTATTGAACCAATCTGTGACTTCCTGAACCCTGCTACTCTGTTGCCAGGAATATGTGGTCACTCAGTGGACACATACCGTAACCGTGGAGCTTTGTCCACAGCAGATAAACCTGCTGAACTCAGCAGGTATAGTTAGATCAGAGCAAACAGACAGCACAGCAGCAGCCTGCAGACTGAGGGTACAGTCCATCTACTGTCAACATATCCAAAAACGTGTTCCTCTGAGTTTGCAGAGTTAAAAACTACAGCAGCCACGTCTCCTAAATACTTTAGTTATTTGCAACAACTTTTTTGAAAGAATAATAATGGCGTATTTTCAACTATTGCTTTTATCCGTTTTTTTACCTTGACATAGCAGACCCATACACAAACCTCTGCTCCTTTCATTACACAGTTCTACCAAAAAGATGACCTGGTGAGGCTCATATACATGAGAGAGAGAGAGAGAGAGAGAGAGAGAGAGAGAGAGAGAGAGAGAGAGAGAGAGAGAGAGAGAGAGAGAGAGAGAGAGAGAGAGAGAGAGAGAGAGAGAGAGAGAGAGAGAGGGAGAGAGAGAGGGTCGATCCAGACTCAGAGTGCAGTGGTGATTCAGTCGGTCGAGAGAGGAAGAAGAGAAGAAGAGATGAGCCCGATGAGAATCCCACTCTGAAACCTGGTATTACCTAAATCCTTACTTATGTTACATTTTGTTGTAAATATGTGTGTACAATGTACATTATGCATGTACTATACTCTGGAGCTGTTGCATGATTGAACCATTTGGTAAATGAATACAATGTTTTCACTGTCCTAACATGTTAGATTAGATACATTTATGGCTGCATCATTCTATGAAATTAAAACATTTTGATTTCTTGTGTATCATTTTGTATACATTTTCCTAAATGTACGTCACAAATTGGAATTGCAACTAGTAATGTCAATCGTATTTGTTTTCTTCCAGGTCCTTTGCAGCCAGGAGCCAACTGCCACATCCTGCATTTGATGCAAGGGTCTCCACATCCAGAGAAGGATTTTACTTTTGTCCACACATCTGCAAGAACAGTTTAAAACACAAATGTTAGTTGAGATTGGTTATGTAATTTGCCATTGAAACGCAGAAGGAAAGAGATTACTAGGAAGTGGTGCTTTGACATTTAATGTGAATTTAACAATATTTCACAGGATCTCTGCCCCCCCTTAGTGGCGACAGGCTGAAAGAACAGGGTATGTCTGAGCTGCAGCTACTCAGCACTTAAACCAAGATAAATATAACCAATTTTGCAGTATCCAGCAACTCTGCAGCATGTTTCAGTGTCTTTCAATAATAAACCCACTGAATGCACCTGCACTTCAACAAACAAAAGTAACTGGCTGAAACCATGGCTGAAACAGGGAGCAGCTTAATAGAAAGATATTTCTCTGGTTACAATAAAACTAAAGTGAATATTGGACTTACATTCATTTTGCAGAAAAGTGTAAGTTAATGTTGCTGAAATGACTTACAACTGCACTACAATTTTCACAATCTCTCTGCGACACTTAGTAGGAGTCCGGACCCCCATGTTGTGAGCCAATGCCCTAATCTCTTATGATATAATGTCATCTAATCTAATGCTTTATTGTGATTCACAGGTCATATAGTGCCTCAAACCTGGAGTCCCTGAGACCGCAGTAAGCCAGAGTCTGTACTCGCCAGGGTTGGGTGTCGGCCATGTCTAGGCCTCTTCTCTCAGACCCCCAGGAGAAGCTCCTCAGCCACTCCATCCTCACCGCAGCCCGGCTGGCCCGCAGAGGATGGACAGAGGAAGGGAACAAGACAGGGTGGCAATTTTCCCATTTTGACTTGACCCAACATGTTCTCTATCTATGGCACGTCTCTACTGGGAATTGTAGTTTTAAAAGACGTTTTCGTATTTCTCATAATAAGAAGTTGCCAGTATTAAACTGTGTACATCCCTGGAGGTTTAGGGGATAGGAAACACTCAAATTTAAAACATATAATTAATAAATGGGTGAAAATTGCTTGTGCCCATAATGGGCATGCAGCATTAATATATACCCACATGACAGCTAAGGTCAGAAGAGCTTTATTTAACAGCTGGTCTTATGTCTTTGACCCCTCCTGTTGTTCATTGATAAGCCTGAAACATGCACTTGTCAAGGTTCAGAGGCACATTTTGCAAATATGGCAGTAGCCATCGCTCATCTTAAGATCAGATATACTTTATTGATCCCAAGTTGGAAACATTTGCGTTACATCAGCATGTGTAACAGTTGTAAATATGCAGTGGTGTTTATTTGTAAATCATTTAGTATAATCACACAAATTCTGTGTTTTATATTTAATAATTATGTGTTCTTTATTTATTGATTGTTCAATACCTGACAAGGTCGAAGATGAAAAACTTGGGTCGCAGGTTCCTCAACAGTGCATTACAAGACATCTATCAATATGTGTGTACCATTAAACTGTCATATTCTGCACATGTCTTATACTATCTACATACATCTTATAAGAGTATAATACATATGTATAATATCAGTTAAAATAAGTGCTTCAACATAATTAACATTGCTGGAGGTATACACACATATTGATAGATGTCTTGTAATGCACTGCGACCCAAGTTGAACAGGTCTCTCTTGAAAATGAGACCTTGTGTCTCAATGAGATTTTACACCTGTATAAATAAATAAAGTTTTTCATTCAATGCATAACTACACCGTAGTTGTGTATTATATGTCAATAAACCTTAGAAAATCTTGAAAGGGATGTGGAAAATAGTCATTATATACAGTCTTTAATTAACTATTAGTAGAGAATAATGAGTAATGAATATACTTTATAGGGATCCTATTAATATCTAATAATAAAAATAATGAAATTCAATAACATGCTTTAACCACTAGGTGTCCCTTTATATCAGCTGTTCACCGTTGTGGTGTAAATACAGCCTATCTACCAATTGGATCAAATATAAAAGTCAGCCGAATTAGTGTTGATACTGCAAGGAGACGTATTGTGTGAAAAGAAATGTAAGATGTTGTTTAATTGCTGATATATTTCTGATCCACGTCACGTTTTCAGTGTTGTCGGCAGTTCCTCATGTTTGTCTAGAAGTCTTCTCATCAGGGCTCTATAAATAAAGAACTACGGCAGATATGTAATATTTAATGCAGCCGAACCGTGTATTACAATGCCGTTATGTGATGACTTTCAAAGAGAAAAGCAAGCACACTCGGAATAAAGTATTATTATTTTTATTTTTTTTAAGTTTTCGGTTTGTTTATGACGAGGTGATGTGTGTAAGGGAAACTTCTGTGTAGCAATGCAGTGGGAATCACCGACTCAGGAAGGAGACACGGTAGAGCAGGAGCTTCGATGTCAAACACTGATGATTTATTTGGAGTTTCGGCCGGAGGATTCACATCACAAGTCACAGCAGTCAAGGTCTGACTGCACGGGTGGGTTGCCACGTCAATTCTAAAGAACTCTACCTCAGACCCATGTATTTAGCTAGTTCTGAGAGCATCATCAACATGCTGCATAACAAGATAAAATCATAACACCTCTATCAGCTGACGTCAACAGGCAGGAACATAGAATCATAACACCTCTATCAGCTGACGCCAACAGGCAGGAACAGGGAGATAGAACACTGAGAGCACAGCAGCCAAGGTTATGACGTGTGTGCTCAGTCAGGACAGTTTGAACCGATAAACTGGGTCAAAGTTATGGGCCTTGGAAAATATTTCTGTGAGACTGGGTTGGAGAATTGCACAGGGGAAAATAACGTATCACTGCCACAATTTTAGATGCGGATTTTGTTAAACTAATACGTTTGCGCTGTGGACCAACACTATACATTGACGGGGAAGGGGGTAGCAATAAAGATAACACCATTAAACAGTTACACAACATAACAGAAATAATATCGATAGCAACCCTAGCAACCACCTTGGTAACAATGAAAACGTTGAATGGACACAATTTCCTGAAGTAATTTTTGTAATAACTAGCAAATTAAAGATCATGTGCAAAGACCACTGCACACATAATCTGAAATAACAACTCATATTTCTCGCATCAAATGACATCAAAACGCATTTGAATGGCCAAACTAACCTTAAAATAGGCATTTTCCACCGAGAATAAAACGAATGTCGGCCATGTTTTTTTTTTCTGCAGGGAGAAATGTGAAGATCACGTGACATAGACGCCAGCCATTGGAAATGAATGGTGAAAACAAATGTAGGGATCTCACAATTTCAGAGGCGTTTTTGTAGAAATACTACATCCCAAGTGTAGTTATTACCATAGCCGCGGGAAGTCATTTTGCTCAGGGGGTGCTGCCAAAATTGGGGATGGAGCCGTTTAAAAATTTTTTTAAAAGGCGGTGCCGGGCCGGGCCCGGCTGTCAGCGATACGAGCCGCATACATTGTTTGTTAAAGGCGAGACACGGCAGGCAAAAACATCGTTTTTCATGCACTGGTCAATTTTGAGATGTTGTGCTATTTTGATTCCATAACATGTTTTATTTCAGGCTTTTGGAAGGAAAACGTACAAAATACACATTTAAGTGTTCATTTTACTATAGTTTGTCTATTTGCATCTGTATATTTCTCCTAAATTCACCAAAAGTTAGCATTTCTAACGTAACATAAAGTACCGCGATCGCTGTTTGCACAATGTCATCGTTGGAAAAGCTCCGTCTCTCCTGCACAATGATCTCATCGGATCCAAATATGATCATTTCCTTTGTATCAGCAACCAATCGTGAAAGCACAAAAGGGTCTTAAACCAAGAAACAAAATCTCATTGGCTGGTGTCAATTTCTGACAACGTGATTTGTTCAGATGCACCACGTGGTGTGCTAAAACACTTCCTGATTAGCTTTCCGCTAGAAATGTAAATCTCAAAATGGCAAAAGAACGGCGAAAAAAACGTTCACAGAGAAGACAACAACAATTGTCACTTGCACGAAGCAAGGTTATACAAAACACAAATGACCCCGAACATGAAATACCTTCACGGAGTGCGTCGATGCGCAAGCTGTCATCCAAAGAACAGAGGGTTTAGCTAGCGCCTCACTGCAATCTTTAAAGGTCGTTTTCTCAAAATGAGTTTTTTCTCCTACTCTGAGTCCGAAATTTCCACTTTAGTTGCACTTACATACACCAAACCTTCCAGTTATATTCCTATCAATATTATGAAGGCTTTTACAGAAGGGTTTGTTCATATATCATTCATAGCCTGAATTATATAAGATTGTATACCTAGAAACATGGCGAAAATTGATATTTTAGGGCTGTTGACAATATTTTCTGATTTATGGAGTGATAAAGAGAGATATCCAAAATCCCTTCGGTGAAAGCCTTAGATGCTAATATGACTACAAAATGAAACGAGAATTTTGAACCTGGCTTTATCCAAAGTTCAGATTTCGGTTCCTGAAATGTGTTAAAATATGCGCAAATGTAATGAGATAATGGATAATTTATATATATTACTCTAGTTGTAGAGGTGGTGGGCTGAGGAGTAGCTGGTGGTCCACTCTTTTTATTGGGTTGTTTGTTGGAGAAAAAAATCCAAAATCCTTTTTTGCGCCATTCTAGAAAGTTGTCACTCTGCAGTGTGTGTGTCGCGTCAATTACGTCACTCTCCCAAGATCTACGACCTAGATGACTCGGATTTTACTTATTTGGAAAATAAATTCAAGCCACCTGATATATTCAAATATATACTATGACTATTATATGCTACTGTATACAGCTAATTTTATTTTAAGTAAAATCATAACTATTTTATGTAGTTTAATCATTTTTATTTAGGTGGTCACTCCGTTTTTTCAAATGTACACCACTCGCCAACAGGGGGTGCTGCAGCACCCCTACTTCCCACGGCTATGGTTATTACACGTTTTTTTGTGAGACTGGGTTGAAAATACGTGTCCATGCTGCCCCAGAAAGCCTCGTTGGAGATTTGTTTTCTTCCATTTTTTTCCTTCTGGGTCCTATTAACGTAACAAAGTCCAAATGGACCAATTGGTCCAATCCGCGGAGCTCCGCACACACACAAACTCACTCAGCCTTATCTTTTCTCAGCCGCGGTGCTGCGCGGAGCTCCACACACACACACACACACACACACACACACACACACACACACACACACACACACACACACACACACACACACACACACACACACACACACACACACCCCCTTGTCTTTATTACATTCTGGGGGTACCTGACCAGACCATCCCTTTTGGGGTCCACCCTTTCTGAAGGTTGTACAGCACTGTAAAAAATCAGGCAGAATCCTGAAGTGGACTCAAACAAAGATTTCACTTCAAATTATCAATCAGAGAAAGTAGAGGTCACTGACCGGACTATAACCCGTTTCATGGGGTCTTGTCAGGTACAGAGTTACAGGAGGGGTCCATATATACACACTGTCTGGCTTTTAGTCATGTGTGGGCTCCAAAAATACACTGTCTGGTTTAAAACATTAGTGGGGCCACTTAGCACACTATTACTAAACTTACTTTAGGTAACAATGCAACACCTTTGACTGTCAAAGTGAGGGCTATCATGATGCAGAAGGATTTTCACCTTTAGTGTCAACATGTAGCTTCTGTTGTGACACAATTATATTGAATTCTAATGTACTGATAGCATTTTAATTAATATTTAAGCTATTATAGTAATGCTTTTTATTAGTCTATTTAACCACTGTGACACAGGGATGTCTGAACTCGTGAATGAGACTCACAGTACATTTACTGAATTTGCATCAGTTTCCTTCTTTTTAAATAAAGAGGGGTTTGTGTTCTAAGTGTTAATTATTGGAGCCATACAAGTCATGCTTATATGGGTATTCTGCTTAAATAGTCATTGTAATTTCCATTTAAGCAATACAATGTTATTATAGAGCTTTCCAGTAAATACAAGGAGATTGTCGTTATTAGACTTTTAATTATTACATACAATACATTAGAATACATTATTATTTATATATATAAATATATATATATAATAATGTATTTCCAGATGATATTGAAAGAAATGAGGAAATTGAAAGTGTGAAAAGGGACAAGATTAAATTGTGTTAAGAAAAAAACAAGATAATATGAGAAACTAGAAGAGATGATAAGGTAGTTCAGATAAAAGGAAGATTACAAAAAAGAGATGAGATTTAAAAAGCATAGAGGTAAGAGAAGATCAAATAGATAAGGTTGAAGAGGAAATTGTGAATAATTCAGATAAAAGAAAAGGAGGTATTAAGAGGACATCAATGAGGGGTGAAAGAAGAAATAAAGTATGATCTATATATTTGTATAGCGGCTTACATCAAACATTTAACTTTTGCAAGCATTACACTTTACAAAAAAAAGTAATGGTGTCAACAGACATCAATGATCACTTTACATTTTGCTCTTGAGAGCTGTGATCCGATTCTTTATATAAAACTTTATGGCCAACCAATTTCTTTGTTTGAGTGCTTCTCCTTCCATTTTAAGACACTTATCGCAGTCGCTTTTCCGCGGAACGCGACATGTGTTAATGAAAGACATCAGGTGCTTCTCAACAGCTTGGATCTCCGTCTTTTCCCACAGCTTTTTCTTGAAAGGCTGCCGACCTGTATAAAAATGACAAATACATTATTTTGTGTTTTTCTGGAACTGCTATGGAAAAGTTATTTGAGAGAAAAAGTTGATAGAATTTATTTACATATTATGCTACTTGTTGTTATTCATATATGTCTGTCTCCATTTTAGATTCTGTAATAAATCAATATTGATTGGTACAAAACATAATAATAAATAATAATACACATTAAGTAGTTTTACGACATTCTCCCAGAATGTCAGCAATAATTCTGATTCCATTGACCTTAGATATAAAGGGCATGGTGGCAGAAGTTTCAGAGGAGAATATCTCAAAACCTCACACATGAACGTACCAAAACTACTGCATAATCCTGGTGGTAAACTAGGTATACATTTTCTAATGCGTTTGAAATAACCCCTTTACATTGGATTGAAACAAAGAAAAATTGCTAACCAGTAACTGAAAATGCAAGAGAGCAAATAGAAGATGCAAATGTAATGTTATATATTCAAAAGAGTTAACATTATACACAAGCAGATCTAAAATATGTCAGTGTAGAACCATGAAACATTACATCAACCATGGAAGAGCATTCAGTAACAAAGTATGGTCTAAAAAGTTGACCTTTTTGCCTTCTCTCGGTCTGTGGTTGAGCGGCTGGTGGAGGTGTCATAGGGCCCTGTTGCGATGCTTCATCTGTATTGCTCCCATCTCTCATTGATGTTTTATTCTCCATCTGAGTGGATGTGACTTGACCCTCTGAAAACCAGATATACAAAATAATCAATTAGGTGTTGCAAGAAAATTAGATATATCCCGAGCTAAAACTCGAAGATTTGATCCGGCTTTTTTTAATGGGTGTATAATGGCTAAAAACTAAATCTGATCCTTTCTTTACTGTGTTCTCCCTCCTTTTGTCTATCCAAACAAACTTGTATTTCTACGCTGCTTTTATTTACAGCTGAGCTCTACAGTGTGAACTGGTTTGTAATATCAAAGTAATCTTTCATTCATATCACATCAGTAATTTAAGTCTTACAATTTTGTATTTATGACGCAATATTTAATGTATTTTTATGAAGTAGCTCAAAAATCTAATCAAAATTATGGTAATTACAACAATCTGACTTGCCGATACAGCTGATACAAAATGGTACAGTACTAAAGATCAGGATCATATCCCACAAACTTGAATGGGACATAGCATGGTCCCACTTAAAAATAATATTTACCTTGTGAGTCTGACTCACACGCTGTCTCATTGTCGCTGTCCATGTGCACATTCTCTGTAAGTTTGGGGTTAGAGGAAGGAGAATGAAGAATTAATTAGTAAAAGCACAATGCACTTAAATGTAGTCTGACATGCTCCAATAATGCCCTAGAAAAATATGTTTTTATATACAAGTACAATTACTTTGGAAACAGAAATGGTATTTCATGTATGAACATGTAAAAAAAGATTTTACCCTCAGGATCAATGCTGATGTCATCCAGGGTCTTGCCCTGGAATTCTGCCAGGCGTCCTTGCTCCAAGGCCATGAGAAGTTTGCTGATCTTAGCAAGCTGAAGGGTGCCCTCAGGAAGTCTGTAGAATTGCCGATGCACTCTTATGTCATGGCCGAGAAAATCTGCCAACAGATCCAGCTCTGTATTGGTGAGGTTAAGAACCTGAGACAGAGTTCCAGTTTGCTTGCGTAGTTTTGTAGAGGTGAGACTTTCAGGATTCTTTGCACCACAGGCCTTGGCAAAGTATCGAAGGCAATCAGAACCGCGGTAGCAGGTGAAAGCAGATGGTCTCGCAAACAAGTAAATGTTCTCCTTAGGAACCCCACATTCCTGCCGTGTGCCGACGAGCAGATCCAGTGCTTGCTGCATTGCTGGGGTCAAAAGCACAGGGACCTTTCTTCCCCTCTTTCCTCTTATCTCTATCCTCCTGAAGTATTTACATAGTTTCTTTTCTAGTTCTGACAGGGCAATATTTACATCTTCCTGAGGATGTGATGGATTTTGAGACAAATATGCAGATAGGGGCATTTTTGAAACTTCCCCTGCTCTACGTCGGTTAAACAAAATGACTTGTGTCAAAGTGACCTTTGCTAACTGTGACCATGTCTGGGGAGATTTATCTGCAGACAATTTAATGTGAACTTCTTGTTGTTGCACATCTAAATAAGAATGGAGAGTCTGGACATCTTTTGTAAATGGAAGCAACTGAGGAGCATTCCACTTGGATTCCTGAAGGGTTCTCAGTGATGCGGCAGAAATCAGTTCATTCCATCGGGTTTCATATACTCTGCGGAACGTACGAGCATCTTTAGCTGCTGAGTAGTTGCTCTGTACGTTTGCACGGCTTTCAACAAGCATTGACATCTTTTTCAAGCTATGTCCAATTTTAAGGGCAAGACTTGGGCACTTGTATGTATTGGTTTCACTGTCGAAGCCTGCCACATGTTTGACTGCTTGCACAACATACAAGAAATTGATGGGTTTGACATGGTCTTGAATAGTCTTTAAGGGAGTAGTTTTCCTCGAACATACCAGAAGCCTTCCAAGCTCCCTCAGTTTCTGCCGTATGTATTCATGCTTGCCAACATCATATCCAAGCCTGTTATACAGGTGCTCACCATACTCCATGATACATACATCAGATTTGACAGCAATGTAAACATCATCTTGAACCATGTTGTTTAACAGCTTCCAAAACTCTATCTTGACGCCAGGTGGTGGAGGTACTGCAAATGCAGACAGGGCCTGGGCACGGGTTTTGCCAGGTTTTTGTGGAACATCGGGTTTGAACTTGCAGATCTTCATGTGCCGCCAAAGGAGTTTCTTGTTGAACAATCCTTGACAATAAACACAATGGAGGAAATTCTGTGCTTGAGAGTCCTGTTTGGGTTGCTTGCGAGAAACAAGATTTCCAACGCCAGCATTTAATACCTCAACATTGTGGGCGAAGTTGCCTCTGTTTCTTAAATGTTCCAAATGCATTCTTCTTTCTTTAGAACCTTTTGGGAAGGACAAAGCCTGTGCAACGTCAGGCTTATTGTGATGCGCACGCTCCAAATGCCTTGCTATTTTTCCAACTCCTATCTTACAGTACAAACAATATTGCTTTTTGTTGTACATTCTTGACCCATCCTCCTTTTTACAAACGGCAGGTATGCAAGGTGAACGTGAACCTTCAGCTACTTTGTTTTCTGTAAGAAGGGAAGAGGCCCCATCAGGAAGATTTGGTTCAACTTCATGTGTCGAGTTTTCAGATACGGATCCAGTGTCGCCAACTATACTCTGTTTTAACGATTTACCCCCTATGGTTCGTGTTGTGGGACAGGATCCACTGCCTAAACATTGTCTTTTGCGTTTAATAATGGAATTGCTATCTCTTCTTGAGGGGGAGCGTCCTCTCTTGGGCACCTGCTGTGAAGAACTACTGTTCACTTGGGTTGGTAAGAGACATTCATCACTGATGTGAGACAGCTTTTGAAAGTATTGGCGTCCAAGCATGCTGTCTTTTTTGTGGACTATGTCAATAACTTCGCTTGTGTCTGTACCAGAAGAGTCTTCACTCGTTTTAGGAATATATTCCTCTCCACTGTCCGCTGAGCTGGGGTCAAAGAGCTCATCTGAATCAAACTCAATCTGGCTGGTCATCTTAAGAAAAGAAATTATAAATTACTTCACCTATTAAACAATTGCTATTCAGACTTTAAATTACAATGTATTGAAACCACCAGTAACAACATATAAGGATTAGTACATTGATCATCTCTACATAAATGTTGCTTACCTGTATGCTTTTAGTCCTCCTCAGCATTGGGAAAATATCTTTGTCTTCTTTGAGTTCAATGTCAGTACCTGGACTCCATGCCTGGAGTGTCCAAAATAAATGTATGTAGTTGGCATTTGTACCAATAAATCAATAGAAATATATATGATACATAATACATGAATACACGAAAAAACTGAATGTATGACAATACCTGAGAGCTATCGTCATGGATGGCAATTCGGGACGGACTCTGAGATTCGTCTGAATCTGTGTAGTTTACAAGGGAAACCATCATCCCATATTTTTTCTTTAAAAGATAGGACTCTGTTTCACCTAAATGCTAAAGAAAAGAAAACATAGTAAAGAATATGCTAACATAACACGCAAACATTGATGTATGTATATGAACTAGCATTAAGAAAACTGAAAACGTTTGATATTTCTTTCATAACATGTACCATTTCATTGAGCAACGTGACATTAGATTTGTGTCAATATAGAGCAAAGCCATTACTTTAGCTTCTGGCTGAATCTATAACAGTGAATGAAATATAAAAAATAAATTATTCAAATGTTGAAGTGCTTTTTCAAATTAATTAACTTATAATCATATGGAAAGAGTAACGGCTGACATTGTTAATATAAGTATACATTTAAAAAAAACATTTAAATGTCTTGATTTAAAAACGTATGAAAAACATTTCAATGATTTATTAGGACTAAAAAATGAATTACAGATAAATATTAAATTATCTTTCTTTTAAATGTTTACTTTATCATCCAATTACCATGGACCCCACAACAACAGGACCCCTGACATGTGTGTGTGAAACTACTCTGCTATAAGCCCTCTGACTGGACCCCATTTAATCACAAAAACCTGACTGTGTTCAGCAGCACACATTCAGAGATACACTGATCTACAGAAAAGCCAATTGAACCATCAAATGCCAATACCAAATATCAATAAAGCAGGACATTTGTAAATACTGAATTATTAGGGAAATGTAGTCAAGGGGAAAATCCATTGAAGACATACCTGTGTGTCGGAGATTGAAGATCTCTGAGGAGCTGGCTCACTCGTACTGGGGATCTCAGCCTCAGAAGACTCGATGGCAGTAGCTGGCTCTCCAACCTGAAGAATAATTCAACATTATTAATATATTGTTTCAATGCAACAACACTAAACGTGAACAGAAAACCTACACACAATGAGTAAGGAGGTATTGGATAATGTTTATGTGACTCATAATCGTTTTTAATATGATATGTTAGGTTGGCTCTGGTATCTGCTATAAATATGTTGCCTCATGTAACTCAAACAGTTAAAAAGAGGTGTAGGTGGAGTCTGGGAGCATGAATTGACCTCTCACCACCAGCTGGTATGAAATGGTACAAAGCAAACTGAGCTAACGTTAGAGCACACATGTCAAACATGATGCTTCCCCAAGTTTATGGTCAGAAAAACCAAAAGAAGTGTAGTTGAATGTGGTGATAGTAACACAGTAACGTGGACCCCACAACAACAGGACCCCTGACATGTGTGTGTGAAACTACTCTGCTATTAGTCCCTCTGACTGGACCCCATTTAATCACAAAAACCTGACTGTGTTCAGCAGCACACATTCAGAGATACACTGATCTACAGAAAAGCCAATTGAACCATCAAATGCCAATACCAAATATCAATAAAGCAGGACATTTGTAAATACTGAATTATTAGGGAAATGTAGTCAAGGGGAAAATCCATTGAAGACATACCTGTGTGTCGGAGATTGAAGATCTCTGAGGAGCTGGCTCACTCGTACTGGGGATCTCAGCCTCAGAAGACTCGATGGCAGTAGCTGGCTCTCCAACCTGAAGAATAATTCAACATTATTAATATATTGTTTCAATGCAACAACACTAAACGTGAACAGAAAACCTACACACAATGAGTAAGGAGGTATTGGATAATGTTTATGTGACTCATAATCGTTTTTAATATGATATGTTAGGTTGGCTCTGGTATCTGCTATAAATATGTTGCCTCATGTAACTCAAACAGTTAAAAAAGAGGTGTAGGTGGAGTCTGGGAGCATGAATTGACCTCTCACCAACAGCTGGTATGAATGGTACAAAGCAAACTGAGCTAACGTTAGAGCACACATGTCAAACATGATGCTTCACCAAGTTTATGGTCAGAAAAACCAAAAGAAGTGTAGTTGAATGTGGTGATAGTAACACAGTAACGTGGACCCCCACAACAACAGGACCCCTGACATGTGTGTGTGAAACTACTCTGCTATATGCCCTCTGACTGGACCCCATTTAATCACAAAAACCTGACTGTGTTCAGCAGCACACATTCAGAGATACACTGATCTACAGAAAAGCCAATTGAACCATCAAATGCCAATACCAAATATCAATAAAGCAGGACATTTGTAAATACTGAATTATTAGGGAAATGTAGTCAAGGGGAAAATCCATTGAAGACATACCTGTGTGTCGGAGATTGAAGATCTCTGAGGAGCTGGCTCACTCGTACTGGGGATCTCAGCCTCAGAAGACTCGATGGCAGTAGCTGGCTCTCCAACCTGAAGAATAATTCAACATTATTAATATATTGTTTCAATGCAACAACACTAAACGTGAACAGAAAACCTACACACAATGAGTAAGGAGGTATTGGATAATGTTTATGTGACTCATAATCGTTTTTAATATGATATGTTAGGTTGGCTCTGGTATCTGCTATAAATATGTTGCCTCATGTAACTCAAACAGTTAAAAAGAGGTGTAGGTGGAGTCTGGGAGCATGAATTGACCTCTCACCAACAGCTGGTATGAATGGTACAAAGCAAACTGAGCTAACGTTAGAGCACACATGTCAAACATGATGCTTCACCAAGTTTATGGTCAGAAAAACCAAAAGAAGTGTAGTTGAATGTGGTGATAGTAACACAGTAACGTGGACCCCACAACAACAGGACCCCTGACATGTGTGTGTGAAACTACTCTGCTATAAGCCCTCTGACTGGACCCCATTTAATCACAAAAACCTGACTGTGTTCAGCAGCACACATTCAGAGATACACTGATCTACAGAAAAGCCAATTGAACCATCAAATGCCAATACCAAATATCAATAAAGCAGGACATTTGTAAATACTGAATTATTAGGGAAATGTAGTCAAGGGGAAAATCCATTGAAGACATACCTGTGTGTCGGAGATTGAAAGATCTCTGAGGAGCTGGCTCACTCGTACTGGGGATCTCAGCCTCAGAAGACTCGATGGCAGTAGCTGGCTCTCCAACCTGAAGAATAATTCAACATTATTAATATATTGTTTCAATGCAACAACACTAAACGTGAACAGAAAACCTACACACAATGAGTAAGGAGGTATTGGATAATGTTTATGTGACTCATAATCGTTTTTAATATGATATGTTAAGGTTGGCTCTGGTATCTGCTATAAATATGTTGCCCTCATGTAACTCAAACAGTTAAAAAGAGGTGTAGGTGGAGTCTGGGAGCATGAATTGACCTCTCACCAACAGCTGGTATGAATGGTACAAAGCAAACTGAGCTAACGTTAGAGCACACATGTCAAACATGATGCTTCACCAAGTTTATGGTCAGAAAAACCAAAAGAAGTGTAGTTGAATGTGGTGATAGTAACACAGTAACGTGGACCCCACAACAACAGGACCCCTGACATGTGTGTGTGAAACTACTCTGCTATAAGCCCTCTGACTGGACCCCATTTAATCACAAAAACCTGACTGTGTTCAGCAGCACACATTCAGAGATACACTGATCTACAGAAAAGCCAATTGAACCATCAAATGCCAATACCAAATATCAATAAAGCAGGACATTTGTAAATACTGAATTATTAGGGAAATGTAGTCAAGGGGAAAATCCATTGAAGACATACCTGTGTGTCGGAGATTGAAGATCTCTGAGGAGCTGGCTCACTCGTACTGGGGATCTCAGCCTCAGAAGACTCGATGGCAGTAGCTGGCTCTCCAACCTGAAGAATAATTCAACATTATTATATATTGTTTCAATGCAACAACACTAAACGTGAACAGAAAACCTACACACAATGAGTAAGGAGGTATTGGATAATGTTTATGTGACTCATAATCGTTTTTAATATGATATGTTAGGTTGGCTCTGGTATCTGCTATAAATATGTTGCCTCATGTAACTCAAACAGTTAAAAAAGAGGTGTAGGTGGAGTCTGGGAGCATGAATTGACCTCTCACCAACAGCTGGTATGAATGGTACAAAGCAAACTGAGCTAACGTTAGAGCACACATGTCAAACATGATGCTTCCCCAAGTTTATGGTCAGAAAAACCAAAAGAAGTGTAGTTGAATGTGGTGATAGTAACACAGTAACGTGGACCCCACAACAACAGGACCCCTGACATGTGTGTGTGAAACTACTCTGCTTTAGTCCCTCTGACTGGACCCCATTTAATCACAAAAACCTGACTGTGTTCAGCAGCACACATTCAGAGATACACTGATCTACAGAAAAGCCAATTGAACCATCAAATGCCAATACCAAATATCAATAAAGCAGGACATTTGTAAATACTGAATTATTAGGGAAATGTAGTCAAGGGGAAAATCCATTGAAGACATACCTGTGTGTCGGAGATTGAAGATCTCTGAGGAGCTGGCTCACTCGTACTGGGGATCTCAGCCTCAGAGACTCGATGGCAGTAGCTGGCTCTCCAACCTGAAGAATAATTCAACATTATTAATATATTGTTTCAATGCAACAACACTAAACGTGAACAGAAAACCTACACACAATGAGTAAGGAGGTATTGGATAATGTTTATGTGACTCATAATCGTTTTTAATATGATATGTTAAGTTGGCTCTGGTATCTGCTATAAATATGTTGCCTCATGTAACTCAAACAGTTAAAAAGAGGTGTAGGTGGAGTCTGGGAGCATGAATTGACCTCTCACCAACAGCTGGTATGAATGGTACAAAGCAAACTGAGCTAACGTTAGAGCACACATGTCAAACATGATGCTTCACCAAGTTTATGGTCAGAAAAACCAAAAGAAGTGTAGTTGAATGTGGTGATAGTAACACAGTAACGTGGACCCCACAACAACAGGACCCCTGACATGTGTGTGTGAAACTACTCTGCTATAAGCCCTCTGACTGGACCCCATTTAATCACAAAAACCTGACTGTGTTCAGCAGCACACATTCAGAGATACACTGATCTACAGAAAAGCCAATTGAACCATCAAATGCCAATACCAAATATCAATAAAGCAGGACATTTGTAAATACTGAATTATTAGGGAAATGTAGTCAAGGGGAAAATCCATTGAAGACATACCTGTGTGTCGGAGATTGAAGATCTCTGAGGAGCTGGCTCACTCGTACTGGGGATCTCAGCCTCAGAAGACTCGATGGCAGTAGCTGGCTCTCCAACCTGAAGAATAATTCAACATTATTAATATATTGTTTCAATGCAACAACACTAAACGTGAACAGAAAACCTACACACAATGAGTAAGGAGGTATTGGATAATGTTTATGTGACTCATAATCGTTTTTAATATGATATGTTAGGTTGGCTCTGGTATCTGCTATAAATATGTTGCCTCATGTAACTCAAACAGTTAAAAAGAGGTGTAGGTGGAGTCTGGGAGCATGAATTGACCTCTCACCAACAGCTGGTATGAATGGTACAAAGCAAACTGAGCTAACGTTAGAGCACACATGTCAAACATGATGCTTCACCAAGTTTATGGTCAGAAAAACCAAAAGAAGTGTAGTTGAATGTGGTGATAGTAACACAGTAACGTGGACCCCACAACAACAGGACCCCTGACATGTGTGTGTGAAACTACTCTGCTATAGCCCTCTGACTGGACCCCATTTAATCACAAAAACCTGACTGTGTTCAGCAGCACACATTCAGAGATACACTGATCTACAGAAAAGCCAATTGAACCATCAAATGCCAATACCAAATATCAATAAAGCAGGACATTTGTAAATACTGAATTATTAGGGAAATGTAGTCAAGGGGAAAATCCATTGAAGACATACCTGTGTGTCGGAGATTGAAGATCTCTGAGGAGCTGGCTCACTCGTACTGGGGATCTCAGCCTCAGAAGACTCGATGGCAGTAGCTGGCTCTCCAACCTGAAGAATAATTCAACATTATTAATATATTGTTTCAATGCAACAACACTAAACGTGAACAGAAAACCTACACACAATGAGTAAGGAGGTATTGGATAATGTTTATGTGACTCATAATCGTTTTAATATGATATGTTAGGTTGGCTCTGGTATCTGCTATAAATATGTTGCCTCATGTAACTCAAACAGTTAAAAAGAGGTGTAGGTGGAGTCTGGGAGCATGAATTGACCTCTCCACCAACAGCTGGTATGAATGGTACAAAGCAAACTGAGCTAACGTTAGAGCACACATGTCAAACATGATGCTTCCCCAAGTTTATGGTCAGAAAAACCAAAAGAAGTGTAGTTGAATGTGGTGATAGTAACACAGTAACGTGGACCCCACAACAACAGGACCCCTGACATGTGTGTGTGAAACTACTCTGCTTAGTCCCTCTGACTGGACCCCATTTAATCACAAAAACCTGACTGTGTTCAGCAGCACACATTCAGAGATACACTGATCTACAGAAAAGCCAATTGAACCATCAAATGCCAATACCAAATATCAATAAAGCAGGACATTTGTAAATACTGAATTATTAGGGAAATGTAGTCAAGGGGAAAATCCATTGAAGACATACCTGTGTGTCGGAGATTGAAGATCTCTGAGGAGCTGGCTCACTCGTACTGGGGATCTCAGCCTCAGAAGACTCGATGGCAGTAGCTGGCTCTCCAACCTGAAGAATAATTCAACATTATTAATATATTGTTTCAATGCAACAACACTAAACGTGAACAGAAAACCTACACACAATGAGTAAGGAGGTATTGGATAATGTTTATGTGACTCATAATCGTTTTTAATATGATATGTTAAGTTGGCTCTGGTATCTGCTATAAATATGTTGCCTCATGTAACTCAAACAGTTAAAAAGAGGTGTAGGTGGAGTCTGGGAGCATGAATTGACCTCTCACCAACAGCTGGTATGAATGGTACAAAGCAAACTGAGCTAACGTTAGAGCACACATGTCAAACATGATGCTTCACCAAGTTTATGGTCAGAAAAAACCAAAAGAAGTGTAGTTGAATGTGGTGATAGTAACACAGTAACGTGGACCCCACAACAACAGGACCCCTGACATGTGTGTGTGAAACTACTCTGCTATAAGCCCTCTGACTGGACCCCATTTAATCACAAAAACCTGACTGTGTTCAGCAGCACACATTCAGAGATACACTGATCTACAGAAAAGCCAATTGAACCATCAAATGCCAATACCAAATATCAATAAAGCAGGACATTTGTAAATACTGAATTATTAGGGAAATGTAGTCAAGGGGAAAATCCATTGAAGACATACCTGTGTGTCGGAGATTGAAGATCTCTGAGGAGCTGGCTCACTCGTACTGGGGATCTCAAGCCTCAGAAGACTCGATGGCAGTAGCTGGCTCTCCAACCTGAAGAATAATTCAACATTATTAATATATTGTTTCAATGCAAACAACACTAAACGTGAACAGAAAACCTACACACAATGAGTAAGGAGGTATTGGATAATGTTTATGTGACTCATAATCGTTTTTTAATATGATATGTTAGGTTGGCTCTGGTATCTGCTATAAATATGTTGCCTCATGTAACTCAAACAGTTAAAAAGAGGTGTAGGTGGAGTCTGG